GGCATAGGTGTGGTCTTTGGGAGCCCATTCCATATTGAGGAATACTCCCTGAGCCAAGACACATGGGGGTGGGCCTAGGCCCTATCCCAAAGGATACAAAAGACTCTGATGACACTCTATGGAAGGCCTCACCATCCAAGGGGAACAGAAAAGATATGTGACAGATAAGGTTTTAGTTGGGGGTGTAGGGGAAGGACGGGTGGGAGAAGGGAACTGGGATTGTCATGTAAAACAATCCTGTTACTAATTCAAATAAAAAAGTTGGAAAAAAACAGTGTACAATAGAAAGTAAGAGTAGCATGTGACTTTAAAACCATGGTCAGATAATGAATACAGAAAATGGTCTGGAAGAGGCTGGGGACACAGCTCCTTCAGTAACTTGCAAGCATGAAGATCTGAGTTCAAATCCCTGGCATCCACTAAAATGCCTGGGACACCAGCACACTCCTGTATTCTCATGAACCTGAGGAGTTGGAAATAGGAACTCTCTGGGGTTCAGTAGCCAGCCAGCTTAGCTAAAACATCATGCCCCAGATTCAGTGAGACATCCTGTCTCAAAACTAGGGTAAAGCAGCAACTGAGGAAGACACACCTAGATAATGATGTCTAGCAGCTGTATGCACACACATGTATTCACCCATGTGTATACAATCATGTGTACACACACACATAAATACACTCATGTGTATACACATGAGCATATACTCAAACACGCACTTGCACACAATGTACATATGCACAAGGAAAGTGGTTTTACATGGTGAAGAGTGAAGAACAGGTATCTAACTTTTGCATCCTGTCACTGGTGAGGTATGCCCATGCTGGGAATGGAAGAATGCCCACCTAGACATACAAGGTCCTGGGGTTCCATTTAAGAAGGATTTTTGTACACACATATTTTGAAAAAAGGGGGTCTCTGCCCTTAGGAAAAGCAAATATACCCACAAAATGACAAGAACAATCATAGCATTTTTCTTTAGAGCAGACAGAAAACTGAACAAGGAAATATTTTCAAAAGTAAATAAATTATACTGTTTCCATGCAGAGGACACTTGGTGAAGAACAGAATATTGAGAAATGTATCTTCTCACGACAGTGAGAAAGCAGTACAGTGATTCCAAAAGGCCCACCCAAGAGATTGAGTATCAGGCAAAACTCAGCCTTGAAGTCTCAATGAGGACAGAATGGGGCAGGCAGAACAGCATGCTGGAAACAATAAAAAGAACCACCAGAAAAGTTTCTGAGATGTAGAAACAGTCTCCAACTTAACCACAGTGGTGACACAGACATCTGTCAGTCACTCTAATACTTAAGGTGCAGGCTTACTTGAGGTGGAGACCCACAGATGTGGAAAGAGGAAACGACCATCTCAAATCAAATAAGAAGATGGAAATAAGGCCCATGACACAAAAGCCACCATAAAAACAAAGTAACATTAAGAAATAGAAGACAGAAAAAAGTGCTAAGTGCTGAAAGGAGAAATGAGACTAAATTAAATGTACACCGAAAACAACCAATCTTGTGTACAAACTTAAAGCAGCATTGTTTCCAACTGTACAATCTCAAATTAACAGCAATCCTACAGCAAGGAAGCAGATAAACAAACTGAAGGGGGAACCACAGAACTGACTACTGCTCAGAAACAAAAGGCAGCAAGGCATTGGTTCACACAGCAGCCAGAGGGAATCTGAAATTCATTCTGCACAATGACAGAAGACAGACTCAAAAGGCTATGATTATTACGTAGTTCCATTTGTATGACATCCTGGAGAAACTAAAACCACAGAGATGGGGAGATCTGTGGGTGTCAGAAGCCACGGTGGGGGGATAACTGCACAGGGCTACACAAGGGGATTTTTATGTGATGCAATTGTCTTACATGATGATGGCAGTAATTGAGTGACTCTACACAGATGTCAAAGCTGACAGAACTATATATAGGCCACAAAGTGACCGTCAATATATGTATTTTGAAAAAATTTATCTGTGAGTAGCCTGTGAAAATAGTTTAGTTGAAATGTTTGCCACACAAGTTTAAGGACCTGACCTTGAATTCATAGAACCTATATAAAGCCATATACAGTGATCTGGGAAGGTGGAGACAGAGGGATCCCAGGGACATGCTGGCCTGCCCATCTCGCCAAAAGTCATTCAGCTCTAGTTTCAGTGAGAGATCCTGTCCCAAAAAAAAGGTGGGTGGGGATGACTGAAGGAAACACCTGACATTGAACCCTGCACTTCACACACTAATCAGCCAGAATGCTAGGGGGACCTAGGATGGAATGACTCCTTTGACACTGACTTGCATAGAGGCACAAAGATGTGATGTAGTGTGAATGAAGGGGACAGAGGAAAGGAGCTGCCCACATAATTTCAGGAAAAGAAAGCATTTGAACTGGATAAAATACACACAACGGCCACACAGAGGATTCGACACAAATACCAGATTCTCGTTGGTAAACTTGCTTCTCATACAGATTTTTAAAAAAATAATTGGAGGGAGGGGTGTGTGTGTGTGTGTGTGTGTGTGTGTGTGTGTGTGTTCATTCTCACACATACTAGGTTTGAACAAATAAGTGAATAAACTGGAGGCTTTGGGAGTCAGGCTCTCCACAGGAGATGAAGTCACATACAAGTTAGAATGACCCTTTGATATCAGTCAGAGTCCGAGACATTAGTGTGAA